GATCCCAAAGGGGAGCGGGTACAATAGAAGAAGGGTAAGGGAAAAAACACACAGTGTAAGTATAAAGCACCCGAAAAAGTGGTGGTTACACCACACAGCTCCCCCTTAACCACAAGCCGGCATACACAATCTGATCCCAACGAATCAGCTTGGGGATATCTAGGGAAGTACTCACAGATAACTTTTCCAGTTCTGTCTGTCTTGACAACCCGTCTGCGTTTCCACTTTACTTACTGGGTCTGTAGTGGATAGTGAAATCATATGGTTGTAGGGCCAGGTTTAGTGGCGTACATACCAGGGTCGCAGGGGTTGCGGCTGTGACCGGGCCCGGCCCACCAGGGGGCCCGGCCGCACCTGCGACCCGGTATGTATCTACTGGGCCAGCCTCTTCTCCTGGGGGGCCCCCCCGAGGATGGCCCTGCTGACACCCGGCGAGTGGGATGTCTGGGTGGCCGGCGCGCGAGGGAGCACTCTCCTCTGAGTCCTTCCTCTTCAGGTCCCAGGCGCACTGCACTGATACCGGAGCCGGAAGATGACGTCATCTTCCGGCTCCGGCATCCCTACGTGGCACGCGAGGGAGCTGAAGAGGAAGCACTCAGGGGAGAGTGCTCCCTCGCGCGCCGGCCACCCAGACAGCCTGCCCAAGAGCCACAGGAGCCCCAGGAGCCCCAAGAGCCCAGCAGCACCACAACTAGACCCCAGGGAATCCCCCCAGCACTCCAAAAGGTAAGGAGGCTGGGGGGATTCAATTTACAAAAAAAAAGATGTGTTAGTGTGTGTTAGTGTGTGTGTGTGTTAGTGTTTGTGTGTGTTAGTGTGTGTTAGTGTGTGTGTTAGTGTGTGTGTTAGTGTTAGTGTGTGTGAGTGTGTGTGTGTGTGTTAGTGTTAGTGTGTGTGTTAGTGTGTGTGTGTGTGTTAGTGTGTGTGTTAGTGTGTGTGTTAGTGTGTGTTAGTTAGTGTGTGTTAGTGTGTGTGTTAGCGTGTATTAGTGTTAGTGTGTGTGTGTGTTAGAGTGTGTGTGTTAGAGTGTGTGTGTTAGAGTGTGTGTGTGTTAGTGTGTGTGTAAGTGTTAGTGTGGGTGTTAGTGTGTCTTATTGGGTGTGTCTGTTACTGAGTGTGTCTGTTACTGAGTGTGTCTGTTGTCTGTTAGTGAATGTGTGTTTGTCAGTGAAAGTGTATGTTTTGTAAGTGAGTGTGTATGTATGTCTGTCGCTGAGTGTGTCTCTGTCAGTAAATGTGTGTGTCTGTTAGCTAGTGTGTATGCGTCTGTTCGTGAGAGTGTGTGTCTTCAGCATTTACCTTTCTCCAGCGCCAGACTTCCTTGGCGCTGGGGATCCCTCCGCCTCTCAGCTCCGAATGCACATCCACGGCAAGAGGTGCGCGTGCGCGCTTTTAAACCACCCATTTAAACCGCCCATTACTCAATGCTTTCCTATGGACATTCAGTGTCTTCTCACTGTGATTTTCACAGTGAGAATCGCGGAATCTCCTCTAGCGGCTGTCAATGAGACAGCCACTAGAGGCTGGATTAACCCTCAGTGAAACATAGCCGTTTCTCTGAAACAGCTATGTTTTCAGCAGCAGGGTTAAAATTAGAGGGACCTGGCATTGAGCTGATGGGATCTGGGTGTCTGTAGTGGTCCTTTAGGTGTGTGTGCAGCATACAGCGGTCGCGGGGTCACAGCCCTGCTACCAGGTGCCCGCCGCCATGTGTTGCGGCCCGACCCGCGCCGAGTAAGCGCGGGGGGGTGGGGGGCCCACGGATCGATTTTTGCACCGGGGCACCATGGGTCATGTGTACGCCACTGGCCAGGTTCCAGCGTAACAGCCTGGCGTTGTCCCCAGTGACTTGGTTAAGTCACACCAATGGCTGTGATCTGTGAATAGTGTGATTATTGGCCATTGATGTAGGGCTGCAGCTTCTTGAGGGCCCACACCGCCACCAGCCATTCCTTCTCGATGGAGGTGTAGCTTACCTCCCTGGGTAGTAGTTTCCTGCTGAGGCAAGCTGACCTGGCTCAGCATTGCCCCAATCCAAACATGGAAGCATCTGTATGAATAAGAAAACGTTTGTTCGGACTTGGAGCATCCAAGACAGGTGCTTTTATCAGAGCGCTCTTAAGAGCTTGGAATGCTTGCTCACACTCTGGGGTCCAGTATACTTGTCGGGGCAAGTTATTTCGGGTCAGGTCAGTGAGGGGATTAGCTAGGGCACTGTAGTTGGGGACAAACTTCCTATAGTAGTCAGCGCTCCATAGGAAGGCCATCACCTGGATTTTTGTGCGGGGCGGGCCCAGTTCGCTACTATCTTTCTTGGCTGGCTCGAGCTTCTGCTACCAACACCCTACCCGGTGTCCCAGGTACTGCACTTCTGCCATCCATAGGTGGCATTTGCTAGGTTTCAAGGTCAACCCTGCTTCTCTAATCCTATCCAGTACCGCTCCTACATGTGCCAGGTGTACCTCCCAAGTGTCGGTGTAGATGGCTATATCTTCCAAGTATGCACACACACAATCCTGTATACCATCCAACAGCCAGTCCACAATCCGCTGGAAAGTGGCCGGGGCATTCTTCATTCCAAAGGGCATGACCTTAAATTGGTAATGGCCAAGTAGGGTAACGAAGGCCAACTTGGGAACAGCATCTGCCACTAGGGGGATCTGCCAGTACTGGCCCCAAACTATCTTATCTAATAGCTTGTTGATAAGAGGCATGGGGTAGGCGTCTGATACCGTCTTGTCATTGAGCCTCCAGTAGTCTACACAGAACCCGGTGGTTCCGTCTTGCGTTGGCACCAGCACTACCAGGGAAGCCCACGAAATCTTACCCCTATTTGGAGCATCTCCTGAATCTTCTGCCTCATATTTGCCTGAACCACCTCTACGATTCGGTAGGGGGTTTGCCTCAGAGGTTGATCGGGGGTCTCTACTATGTGGGTGGCCAGGGGGGGTATGCCTGGGCAGGTTAGAGAAGTCTCCCTCTTGGCCAATAGCACCCTTACCGGTGTTCCCTCTCTGTCAGCCGGTCCCCTAGTTGGACCTCCTCAAGGACCGATAATGTAGGTAGTGTCACTCGTCCATTCCACTACCCGTTATGGGCACTGCAAAGTAGCCTGTAACCTGTCATATCGGACAGGTTTCAGAACCAGCACTTTTTTCCCATCCATCTCCCCCTCTCATTCCCAGTGCTCTCGGACCAGGTCTAACCCTCCGTCTGAATATCAATTCAAAGGGAGAGAAACCAGTAGATTCCAGGGGCACCTCCCAATATACAAACAGGAGATGTGGCAGGAATCTTTCCCAAACCTTGTAAGTCTCTGAAAAGGTACGGAGCATCTGCTTCAACATGCCATTGAAGCGCTCGCACAGGCCATTGGTCTGAGGATGGTATGGGGAGCTCAGGATTGGTTTAATGGCAGATAGCCTCCACAGTTTATGAGTCATCTCAGCCATAAACTAGGTGCCCTGATCCGAGACGATCTCCCGGGGAAAACCCATCCGGGAAAACACTTCAGGGCTTCCGCCTTAAAATTGCTCAAGGCACCTGCCTCGGGGTACCGAGTAGCATAATCCACAATGGTCAGAATGTATTTCTTCCCAGAGGGACTTGGCTTAGCCAGGGGACCTATAATGTTGACAGCTACTATGCCGAAGGGGTCTTCAATAATGGGTAGGGGATGGAGCTTAGCCTGCTTCCCCACTTTCTGGCAGACATCACAAGACTGTCAGTACTGCCTCAGGTCTTTGGAGATGCCTGGCCTAAAGAAGCTTTGGGTGAGTCGATGCTTAGTACAACTCACTCCAAATGCCCAACCAGGGGAATATCGTGAGCTATCTTCAATAGTTCCCGGCAATATTTCCTGGCTACCACCCGCTGCTTGTTGGTAGTAGGAGTGGTCCCTGTCCCTACTTTCTTTGCTATGTAATATAACAGTCCCCACTCCCTGATAAACTGTTCCTCCCCCAACCCTGCCCGACTCATGGCCAACCTATCCCTATATGTCTGAAGGGTAGGATCAGAAACTTCTTCCCTCCCAAACTCAGCAGGGGTATCCCAGGGCAAGGGGACTGGAATACAGGGAGGTATTCGTGGGACTGGGGGGAGGGGATGAGCACGGGGGGCCTGGGTACGGGGACGACTATGGGGAACCGGGCAAAGGGACAGGCACACGTACCTACCTGAGCCTCAGAGTGTGAGCCATTCTGGGTGGTGCAGGCTTGTTGCCGGGTCATCACCTGGTAGGTTTCTTCTGGTGCATGGTGGTGCCCATAGATGGAGGTAAGGTGACCCAGGTCATTGCCGAGTAGCAGGTCTGCGCATAGTTCGTTCCTGAGCCCGACTTCCACTCTCTTGTATCCAGTGCCCCAGTCAAGGTGAATGTTGGCAGTGGGTAGGGGGTAGATGGTTCCCCCGGCTACCCCGACAGCATCTGTTCCCCTGGTCTTCTCTGCCTCTGTAATGTGCCGTTGTTGAACTAGAGTCAGTGTGGCTCCAGTGTCTCACAGACCCTGGATGGTGCGCCCGTTTAACCGGACCGGTTGCCTGTGGTGGTCCTGGTTGTCAGGGGTGGCTTGGACAGGGTTCACCTCATGCAGGATGGTCCAGTGTTCTTTGCTGTGGGTCGGAGGATGCGTGGGGGCAGCCTTTTAACAGATGGCTGCTGCTCGCGGGACAGGAGGGGCCACGGAGCGAATTTACTGGTGCCGGTCCCTGGCCTGGGGACAATCCCTCCTTTAGTGGCTGGAATGCTGACATTGATGACATTTAAAGCCAGCCCGGAGTGGCACTTTTGAAATTGGCCCCAGGGCCCGTGGGTTCCTGGGTGGTGGGTAAATTGTGGCTAAGGAAGCAGTGAGGGTCTGGAGCTGGGTACAGGAGCAGGACAGTGAGGTCGGCGGGCATCTAGGTACTCATCGGCCCGCTGGGCTGCTTCAGTGAGGGTCTTGGGCTGCCGGTCTCTCACAATCAATGTCCTTCTCTGCTTTGGTGAACATTTTGAACCAGTGTATGGCACCTTGGGCTTTGGGTCAGCAGGTGCTGCACTAGCTGGGGCCACCTCTGCTGCCCGGCCAGGCTGTGGCAGGATGTAGGTCTGGACCTCCAAAATGGTCCTGGTCATGATCTCTTGGGATGGGCTTCGTCCGTAGTAGGCTAGGCAACTGGCCATCTCCTTATCGAAGGCATTCTTCTCTGTAGATCATGCTGTAGAATATCCTGTCACTCCTGGTATACCTGAAGGTGATGGTCTCATTAGCCAGGTATAAAACACTGCTTCTCCCAGAAGGCAGTGTCAGTTCCTTGACTCTGGTTCTGTATTGCTGTTTGTGTTCCAGTGTGCTCCTTTTGATTCCTGACCTTCGCTTGTTACTCCGTATATATCCTGACTTCTGTCATCCTCTGACCTTGGCTTTCTTCTCGTTAATACTGATTTCTGGCACTCTCTGACCTCTGGCTTACCCACGACGATTCTCCTGCTTTATCCGTTCCTGTACTGCGACTTGGAGAATTATCCTGCACAGCCCCCATGCACCGACTCACAGGCCAGGTGAATTCTTACCTGACCACCTCGGCCTGTGTTTACTTGCAAGGGTGAGCATATATCTCTGCCTGCCGGACTCCCAACTCAGGTAAGCCCTGACATCCGAACAGTGACCTCTGCTAATTGCTTCCTTCAGCCACTCAGGAACCACTTATATACAGAGACCCATTTCCCTCCAGTAACTGGATGACACACAGTTCTGGAGGTACAACACAATTTTATTGAGCTACATACGGCTTTTAAGCCACAGGATCCTCTACACCAGGGAGCCCAAGCACAGGAATATATCCCAAATAAGCAAAGCTTTCCCACCCCGGATGACAGGGGGGTCTTCATCCCTTTAGCCTCTGTGCCTGGAAGCCAAAGCACAGGAAAAGAGTTAACAAGCTCAGAAGTGGTCCGCAGTTCGTGGTTTTGTTCAGTTCCCAAACAATAAAGGGAAACCACACAAAGTCTTTTAACGGGTCTTTTACATGGCCCATAGTCCTTGGGCAGGAGGCTAGCCAGCCCGTTCCTCCAGGAGTCTGTGGCAAATGTACGGTGGAAGGAGCATTTTCCACAAGCAATGTTTACATTGCTGCCTAGTTACACCTCTAGTGGAAGTCACTCAGATGGCCACTATAAATGATTCCTATCTCAGTACTGCATTGGGTGCAGCACCTACGTTCAGCGTCTCTATGATCTGTATCCACAGAGATGCATTGCTTCAGTGATTCTATATGAGGAGATGCTGATTGGCGTAGTGCAGCATTTTGCCATGCATGCGTAATAG